GGGGGCCACGGGGGAGGACATTTGGTCCCCCATTATTTTACTATTATTAGGTCCCCCATGTTAGTATTTAGGGCCCCCACGGGGGGGCTGGGGTGGGTGCAATAGGTCCCGCCTTTAGTTTAAAAGCCCCCACTTGCGTGTCGCGGGTGGTGCCTATTTTTTTTTTTTTAACAGTGAGCAGCCACAGGCAGCTCACTGTTTAATAGACATGCCCCTACTCGCGGTATAGCGAGTAGGGGCAACATTTACTAATACTAAGTAATTTTTACTTAGTATTAGTAAATTTGGCTGAAAGACCAATTTAGGTCTTTAAGCCTTTTGGTAGATAACTCCCTAATACCGTGGGAATTAGGGAGTTATCTACTAAGCGGCTGCAAGAGAAGTCCCGAAGTTCCTGAAGTCCCGAAATTCCGAAGTGTCGAAATGACGAAGTGCTGAAGTTGCCGAATTTCCGAAGTGTCGAAGTTCCGAAGTTGCCGAAGTTCCAAGGTGTTAAAGTGCCGAATTGCAGAAGTCACGAATTTCGGAATGCCGAACCGAAAATTTTCCCCATGCACATGCCTAGTCCCCTTATCATCCTCAGCCCCTCCTAGCTGTGATATGCGCTCCCGTCCTGCCAGGAATTGCGCCCCCCAGGCCAGTGCCCCCTTGGCAGCTGCCTAATCTGCCTAGTGGTCATGTCGACCCTGTATGTGGCAGTGTATGTGTTTATAACAACATGCAAACACGCAAACATTACATACAAACAAACCTTCTTTTGGATACCAACACTACACACGAATATGCATCTGCATTTAAACAACACTACATACAAACACACCTCTGCTTTCAAACTCAAACACTAAACACAAGCACACCACTGCTTTCCAATGGCAACAGTACGTACAAATACACCCCTACATGCACACACATACTCCAGAAAAAATCGTGCATACATTCAAACGTATTAACACTGCTCACAAATACAACCCTGCAAATATGGGCAAATGGTAGATCCCCAGCAGGCATAGCATTGTGGAAGTTGTGCAACAGATAGGGATCTATCTTTTGACCACTGTAGGGGGGACAAGGGCTCTCTCTACATTAGTTCCGCCACTGCTCCATTGCATAAAGAGAGGTCCGTGAAAACATGGTTTGATGAGTTTAGTGCAGAGGAATTTGAAAGGCCTGAAGAGGTCCCTGTCCTCAACACCAGTGGACACTTTTGAAATTAACTGGAACATCGATTGTGAGCAAGACCTTCTTGTCTAGTATCAGTCCCTGATTTAATAATTGTACTTCTAGCAGTTTGGTAGGGGAGGGATGATTGTCTTGGGCTATTTTCAGGGTCTAGAAATTCGATATCTTAATGTTACAGGACACAAAGACATATTGGATCAGGGTAAGCAACATTTGGAAATCCAGATGTTGTGGACTACATTTCCCATAATACCTTACAGCCATAATGCTGTCAAAGCATCGAAAATTGTTGTTCAAGCTAAAAAGATAGTTTGTGTGTAGCTGGGAGGTCGGCGAGGTGTGGCCCATGGGTTTGGATTGGGATGTCCAACAAGCTTATATAGGTACGCCAGTCAAGTGTCCATGTACTTTTTGCCATATAAAAGGTCATTCACTAATTTGAGGATTTAAAGTGAATTTAAGTAGAATTTTAAATATAAGGCCAAAGTAGCTGAATTGAAAGCATAGCTTTTCACCAACTTTGGCTTTACATTTTGTATTCACTTTAAAGTCTCACCTTATATATTAATATATTAATAACTCTGACAGTGTGTATGACAACACTTGACATCTAATATTTAATATTTTGAATCCACTTTTAAATTGATTTTTTTCAACATATTAACATTTAAAAAGATATAATATATTTAAAAAATCAATGTATCACAAAGTATTAAAAAGTATTATTCAAAATATTAAAGCATTTTAAAAGTTTATCTGAAAAAATTAAAACATTTGTTAAGCTTATCCAGTGATATTAAATACCAAAATCAATTTTTAAAAAAACTAAGAAATCACTTGACATGTATTTCACTCTGCATGAAGCTTGTCAGTAGCGCTAGTAAACACTGACCACTCTGGGTTTAATAATCTGGACGTAATTTGCAGATGTGCATCAAGTGCATTCTTTTTTTCTTTTTTATACACGCTGGTATGCTGGGTATTGATAAAATTATGTATAGGAAATAACTATAAATATATCTCTACTTGGGAAAAGACAGTTTAGGAAACATCAACAACCATTTGACTCTCCGATTGTTGAACTCTGTGTGTTAAACTGGGAGTGTTTCTCTATTTGTGGCTAGACATTTTAAAATTGAGTGTGTAGTGTAGCTGGAATAGTGGAACTGTGTGTGTGTGTAGCTGAGAGTGTAAAATTATATGTTCAGTTGGAAGTGTCTATGCCTTGGTTTAAATTCACATATACTGCAAATTGTCATATATCACAACTTTCAGTCATATGAATCTATTATTAATACACAGATACATCAGCCAGAGTTAGTTATTTTATATGTTTTTAATTTATTGTTTATTATATAATATATAATACATACACAATTTAATAAACAGGATAATATGTGATTTATCTACAAATTATAATATTGCATTTGAAATGTTTTAAAATTTTATGTCAACATTAAGGATACAAGTGAATTTAGAGTCAGAGTGAAGCTTACAGTTAGTGTTAGTGGAGTATTTGTGGCTAGAACGGGGCTTCTTTACAAGTGTGTTAAAGGTTAGGGTAGCATATAGCAATAGGGTTCGAAAGTAAAGAGATCGTCTGGCTTATTCACTAAAGTGAGAATTATCAGGAATTTAAAATTAATTTCAAATTGAAGGCCATAAAAGACAAAGTGAAGAAAAGGTTAAGGGCTGTTCACCAGCTTTGAAACAGTCTTATTTTTCTACATCCTGACTGCACATGGGGTGATGAAAGAGGTAGTCCATTTTCAGGTTCATATTGGGGTCTGGGGAACCCTATGTCATTTTTTAAATACAACATGCCTGCCATGAGTGCTGTTGAGAGAGATTATTGTCTCTCTCATATTTAATATTGTGTCTCATGACTTTACACAGGTTGAGAGGTCATTTATTGAATTGCTGTTGTTTTTGTCCACTTCAACATTTGACTACTTTCAGCTGCAATTTGTCACTTCAGCATGCTTTTTTTTAGTAGCATCAGGCTAAGCCTCCACTTATCCAGGAAAAACCCATACACTAGGCAAGGAGAGATACCTTCAGACATTATACCTTTTTCACTTCTTAGTAGATTGGCTCTTTACAGAATAGGATAGTGTATCAGGCTCCGGTTTACATAATTTTCTCATTTTACTTGTTCTTTATTCCTTGGACTTTGCAACATTGTGAAATGAAGTATTTTTTGTATTGTTAAGTTAGTTAAATTATAATTGCAACAATTTATTTACTTAATTAGCTGCAATTGTGTACAACACCACTAGATGTCGCTGCTTCCATGGTTTTAGGCTCTTCTGTGGCTCTACATCAGGCATCTGCTCCCCGTCATAATTTTGAACGAACGACTCGCCTGATTCTCTCTATTGCATTCAAAGATTTCTAGAAGTTGTAGTCCATCAACATGTAGTAGAAACTGAGTTTGAGATTCCTGATCCTACAGCGGAGCACCCACCATTGCTAAACAGTCATACTTTTCCTCTATCATTAGTTTATACTTCCACAAGCCCAGACATCTCTTTGATACATTCAACTCTCTCTTCCTGCGCACACCCCAAACTAACCTTTAAGCTGATAGCTTTGCATGCTATTTTATTAAGATAAACCAGTTAAGGACCACTAATGGCACCCGGACCACTTCAGCTCAATGAAGTGGTCTGGGTGCCAGGTCCATCTAGGGTTAGTCCTGCAGCTGTAAAGAGAAACTGCTATGTTTACGTTAGGGTTAATCCAGCCTCTAATGGCTGTCTCACTGATAGCCGCTAGAGGCGCTTCCGCGATTCTCACTGTGATTTTCACAGTGAGAAGACGCTGCCGTCCATAGGAAGGCATTGAGAAATGCTTTCCTATGGACTGATTGAATGCGCGCGTGGCTCTTGCCGCGCATGCGCATTCGGCGGATGACGTCGGAAGAGGGAGGAGAGACCCCAGCGCCGAGGGAGCCCAGCGCTGGTGAAAGGTAAGTGATTAACCCCTTAACCCCTCTTGAGCCCGGCAGGAGTAGGACCCTGAAGGTGGGATATCTGCAGGCTGTTTGCTGTGGTCACAAAATTCAATGTTCTGGGAGAATTGGAAGCAGCTCCATTTTTTGGGGGCCCCTTACACAGCTCAAGGTCTGGGCCCCAGGGCCTGACGATGAGTATGCCCACAAGGCCCACTCATAAGTCCACTTATATGTTCCACCCACCCATGAGTTCGCTCACAGGGAGTGGAGTGTGTAGGGGATGTGTTATGTGTTATTGTAATGGATCTAATATGTGTGCTTATGGTAGTATGTAGTGTATAGGGATACCAGTTTGTGTAGGTGATGCAGTGTGTATTTGTGTATAAGGGATGTATTATGTGTTTCTGGTTGTGTGTGAGGGATGCATTGTGTGAATCTGTGTTTGTATGCATAAGGGTGTGTGTCTGTATGTGTGTGTTTCTGTGTGTATGTAAGAAAAGCAGTGTGTGTGTTTGCATGTGTGTGTAAGGGTTTGCATTGTGTGTTTCTATGTATGTGTGCAAAGGATGCATTGTCTTTGTGTGTAAGGGTTGTGTAAGGAAACCAAGTATATTTAAACCTCATTCGGTAGTTTCCTCCCGAACCGCCAGAGCATCAGTGATTATAGTTCTCCGTTCGGTAGATAAAGTAGACGAACTGTATAGTAATCCAAATAGCTTCATAAGATAATTCCCTTAGTAAAGCACACGAATCCCCAAACATAAGCCAAAGTCAAGAAGAAGGGTACAACTGAACTGAGCTTTAATGATTACACACAGGCTTTTATACAAGTCCCCATGCAAGGGGACATCCCACAGGGACGGACAGAGATTAACCAATTGGGCAAAGTAAAAACATAAAACACACCCAGCACACACATACAATTCCCTCCCCTAGCCCTGGAGATAATCAGGTCTGATAAAGTAATAACTTGATTATCTCCAGGCAGAAAAATCTAATTTTTCCCCAATATCTGGAACACCCCTTTATACCTGAGGTATCCCCACAAATAATATGTCCCCTGATAGCCCCGATCTGGGTGACCAACATATTCAAATTTCACCCAGATCGGTTCAGGGGTTCTCAAAAAATGTCATCTGTGACCTGCTCACCGTGGGCTGGCTGCCTAAAATAGTTCCATGAGTTTGGTGGGTTTTGCCGGTCACTTCAGTAAAAGGGAAAAAAACGAGTAAAGTACCGAATGGATCCCCCTGGCTCTCAGCAGCAATTGTTCCCCTCTGTCGAATGCACCAAAGTACCGAATAGAGCTCTTCTAGCTATTCGGGAATTAGAGTTCCAGCGTTCGTCTGTTTGAGACAAGTGTTCGGGAAGTCGAGTGTCCGATTTTAGTTCCAGACACTCGACGACCAAGTCCTGCTGCCTTTGTTCGGCTGAAAAAAGATGGCTGCAGTTTTCTCAGCATGGCGTTCGGTAGTACGAATGCTGGCTGCACAGATAGAAGGGTTGTTGACGAGTTCTTTGAAGCTTAATGAGCCAGAGGGTTGGTCTTTGTTCGGTAGTTTAAATCTACCGAATGAATAAAGGTGAGATGAGGTGAATAAATAGGGAATAAATAGGGATTTCTTCACAGGTTGCATTGTGTGTGTGTGTGTAATGGATGCATTGTGTGTTTCTCTGTGTGTAAGGGAAGCATGTTGTGTTTCTGTGTATGTATAGGGATACATTGTGTATGTATGCGCGTAGTGTGAAAGAGCTCCCTGTCCTGCCCCCTGTCCTGCCTCCTGTCCTATAGAGCTGTCCCTTCTGTCCCTTAGAGCTCTCCCCTGCCCCTTAGTGGTCTCGCCTCTCCCCACCCTCCCCTAGCGGTCTCTTCTCACACTCACCCAACCTCCCTGTGCTCTTCTCATCCCCCCCTCCACCCTCCTTGTGTTCTTCTCACTCCCCCCTCCATGTGTTCTCCTCACCCCCCTCCTCCCTGTGTTCTTCTTACTTTCTCCCTTGTTCTGCTTACTCCCCCACCTGTTCTTCTTATCCCCCTTCTTCTTCTTACTCCCCCCTTCTTCTTACTCCCCCCTTCTTCTTATTACCCCCCTTCTTCTTATTGCTCCCCCTTCTTCTTACCCCCCTGTTCTTCTTCTTACCCCCTTTCTTCTTCTTACCCCTTCTTCTTTCCTACTTCTTCTTCCCTCTCTTCTTTCTACCTCTTCTTCTTCTTCCTTTCTTCTTTCTTACTTCCTCTTTCTTACCCCTTCTTCTTACTTTCTTCTTTCTTACTTCCCCTTCTTTCTTCCCTTTCTTTCTTCTACCTCTTCTTCTTCTTACTCTCTTCTTTCTCTTTTCTTCTTCTTCTTCTTCTTCTTGTACTCCCTCTTTTCTTCTTTCTTCTTCTTCTTTTTTCTTACTCCTTACTCTTCTTACTCTCCTTCTTATCCCTTTTATCCTCCCTCCTTCTTCTTCCCTCTTACTCCCCTCTTCCCTCTCTACTCCCTTCCTCTTCTTATTCCCTCCCCTTCTACTCCCTCCTCTTACTACTCCCTCTACTTACCTCCCCTCCCACTCTTCTTACCCTCTCTACCCCTTCTTAATCCCCCCTCCTCTCCTTCCTCTTACCCACAGGGGCCACGGGGGAGGACATTTGGTCCCCCATTATTTTACTATTATTAGGTCCCCCATGTTAGTATTTAGGGTCCCCACCCACCGCTGCCACGTGGGGGCTGGGGGGGTGCAATAGGTCCCCCCTTTAGTTTAAAAACCCCCACTTGCGTGTCGCGGGTGGTGCCTCGGGAGGGTGGACCCTTTTTTTTTTTTTTTAACAGTGAGCAGCCACAGGCAGCAGTGGCAACAGTACGTACAAATACACCCCTACATGCACACACATACTCCAGAAAAAATTGTGCATACATTCAAACGTATTAACACTGCTCACAAATACAACCCTGCAAATATGGGCAAATGGTAGATCCCCAGCAGGCATAGCATTGTGGAAGTTGTGCAACAGATAGGGATCTATCTTTTGACCACTGTAGGGGGGACAAGGGCTCTCTCTACATTAGTTCCGCCACTGCTCCATTGCATAAAGAGAGGTCCGTGAAAACATGGTTTGATGAGTTTAGTGCAGAGGAATTTGAAAGGCCTGAAGAGGTCCCTGTCCTCAACACCAGTGGACACTTTTGAAATTAACTGGAACATCGATTGTGAGCAAGACCTTCTTGTCTAGTATCAGTCCCTGATTTAATAATTGTACTTCTAGCAGTTTGGTAGGGGAGGGATGATTGTCTTGGGCTATTTTCAGGGTCTAGAAATTCGATATCTTAATGTTACAGGACACAAAGACATATTGGATCAGGGTAAGCAACATTTGGAAATCCAGATGTTGTGGACTACATTTCCCATAATACCTTACAGCCATAATGCTGTCAAAGCATCGAAAATTGTTGTTCAAGCTAAAAAGATAGTTTGTGTGTAGCCGGGAGGTCGGCGAGGTGTGGCCCATGGGTTTGGATTGGGATGTCCAACAAGCTTATATAGGTATGCCAGTCAAGTGTCCATGTCCATGCCATATAAAAGGTCATTCACTAATTTATAGAAACATAGAAACATAGAAACATAGAATGTGACGGCAGATAAGAACCATTCGGCCCATCTAGTCTGCCCAATTTTCTAAAAACTTTCATTAGTCCCTAGCCTTATCTTATAGTTAGGATAGCCTTATGCCTATCCCATGCATGCTTAAACTCCTTTACTGTGTTAACCTCTACCACTTCAGCTGGAAGGCTATTCCATGCATCCACTACCCTCTCAGTAAAGTAATACTTCCTGATATTATTTTTAAACCTTTGTCCCTCTAATTTAAGACTATGTCCTCTTGTTGTGGTAGTTTTTCTTCTTTTAAATATAGTCTCCTCCTTTACTGTGTTGATTCCTTTATATATTTAAATGTTTCTATCATATCCCCCCTGTCTCGTCTTTCCTCCAAGCTATACATGTTAAGATCCTTTAACCTTTCCTGGTAAGTTTTATCCCGCAATCCATGAACCAGTTTAGTAGCCCTTCTCTGAACCCTCTCTAAGGTATCAATATCCTTCTGAAGATACGGTCTCCAGTACTGTGTACAATACTCCAAGTGAGGTCTCACCAGTGTTCTGTACAATGGCATGAGCACTTCCCTCTTTCTACTGCTAATACCTCTCCCTATACAACCAAGCATTCTGCTAGCATTTCCTGCTGCTCTATTACATTGTCTGCCTACCTTTAAGTCATCAGAAATAATCACCCCTAAATCCCTTTCCTCATATGTTGAGGTTAGAACTCTATCAAATATTCTGTACTCTGCCCTTGGGTTTTTATGTCCAAGATGCATTATCTTGCACTTATCCACATTAAATGTCAGTTGCGGATTTAAAGTGAATTCAAGTAGAATTTTAAATATAAGGCCAAAGTAGCTGAATTGAAAGCATAGCTTTTCACCAACTTTGGCTTTACATTTTGTATTCACTTTAAAGTCTCACCTTATATATTAATATATTAATAACTCTGACAGTGTGTATGACAACACTTGACATCTAATATTTAATATTTTGAATCCACTTTTAAATTGATTTTTTTCAACATATTAACATTTAAAAAGATATAATATATTTAAAAAATCAATGTATCACAAAGTATTAAAAAGTATTATTCAAAATATTAAAGCATTTTAAAAGTTTATCTGAAAAAATTAAAACATTTGTTAAGCTTATCCAGTAATATTAAATACCAAAATCAATTTTAAAAAAAACTAAGAAATCACTTGACATGTATTTCACTCTGCATGAAGCTTGTCAGTAGCGCTAGTAAACACTGACCACTCTGGGTTTAATAATCTGGACGTAATTTGCAGATGTGCATCAAATGCATTCTTTTTTTCTTTTTTATACACGCTGGTATGCTGGGTATTGATAAAATTATGTATAGGAAATAACTATAAATATATCTCTACTTGGGAAAAGACAGTTTAGGAAACATCAACAACCATTTGACTCTCCGATTGTTGAACTCTGTGTGTTAAACTGGGAGTGTTTCTCTATTTGTGGCTAGACATTTTAAAATTGAGTGTGTAGTGTAGCTGGAATAGTGGAACTGTGTGTGTGTAGCTGAGAGTATAAAATTATATGTTCAGTTGGAAGTGTCTATGCCTAGGTTTAAATTCACATATACTGCAAATTGTCATATATCACAACTTTCAGTCATATGAATCTATTATTAATACACAGATACATCAGCCAGAGTTAGTTATTTTATATGTTTTTAATTTATTGTTTATTTTATAATATATAATACATACACAATTTAATAAACAGGATAATATGTGATTTATCTACAAATTATAATATTGCATTTGAAATGTTTTAAAATTTTACGTCAACATTAAGGATACAAGTGAATTTAGAGTCAGAGTGAAGCTTACAGTTAGTGTTAGTGGAGTATTTGTGGCTAGAACGGGGCTTCTTTACAAGTGTGTTAAAGGTTAGGGTAGCATATAGCAATAGGGTTCGAAAGTAAAGAGATCGTCTTGCTTATTCACTAAAGTGAGAATTATCAGGAATTTAAAATTAATTTCAAATTGAAGGCCATAATAGACAAAGTGAAGAAAAGGTTAAGGGCTGTTCACCAGCTTTGAAACAGTCTTATTTTTCTACATCCTGACTGCACATGGGGTGATGAAAGAGGTAGTCCATTTTCAGGTTCATATTGGGGTCTGGGGAACCCTATGTCATTTTTTAAATACAACATGCCTGCCATGAGTGCTGTTGAGAGAGATTATTGTCTCTCTCATATTTAATATTGTGTCTCATGACTTCACACAGGTTGAGAGGTCATTTATTGAATTGCTGTTGTTTTTGTCCACTTCAACATTTGACTACTTTCAGCTGCAATTTGTCACTTCGGCATGCTTTTTTTTAGTAGCATCAGGCTAAGCCTCCACTTATCCAGGAAAAACCCATACACTAGGCAAGGAGAGATACCTTCAGACATTATACCTTTTTCACTTCTTAGTAGATTGGCTCTTTACAGAATAGGATAGTGTATCAGGCTCAGGTTTACATAATTTTCTCATTTTACTTGTTCTTTATTCCTTGGACTTAGCAACATTGTGAAATGAAGTATTTCTTGTATTGTTAAGTTAGTTATCGTCACCTTAAATTATGAATGCAACAATTTATTTACTTAATTAGCTGCAATTGTGTACAACACCACTAGATGTCGCTGCTTCCATGGTTTTAGGCTCTTCTGTGGCTCTTCATCAGGCATCTGCTCCCCGTCATAATTTTGAACGAACGACTCGCCTGATTCTCTCTATTGCATTCAAAGATTTCTAGAAGTTGTAGTCCATCAACATGTAGTAGAAACTGAGTTTGAGATTCCTGATCCTACAGCGGAGCACCCACCATTGCTAAACAGTCATACTTTTCCTCTATCATTAGTTTATACTTCCACAAGCCCAGACATCTCTTTGATACATTCAACTCTCTCTTCCTGCGCACACCCCAAACTAACCTTTAAGCTGATAGCTTTGCATGCTATTTTATTAAGATAAACCAGTTAAGGACCACTATTGGCACCCGGACCACTTCAGCTCAATGAAGTGGTCTGGGTGCCAGGTCCATCTAGGGTTAGTCCTGCAGCTGTAAAGAGAAACTGCTATGTTTACGTTAGGGTTAATCCAGCCTCTAATGGCTGTCTCACTGATAGCCGCTAGAGGCGCTTCCGCGATTCTCACTGTGATTTTCACAGTGAGAAGACGCTGCCGTCCATAGGAAGGCATTGAGAAATGCTTTCCTATGGACTGATTGAATGCGCGCGTGGCTCTTGCCGCGCATGCGCATTCGGCGGGTGACGTCGGAAGAGGGAGGAGAGACCCCAGCGCCGAGGGAGCCCAGCGCTGGTGAAAGGTAAGTGATTAACCCCTTAACCCCTCTTGAGCCCGGCAGGAGTAGGACCCTGAAGGTGGGGGGGACCCAAAGACCCTATAATGCCAGGCAAATTAGTTTGTTTGCCTGGCACTATAGTGGTCCTTTAAGAAAAGAACTCCCTCACCACTCCCTCCTTTGCTCCTCTCTCTCTCAACAGCATTTGGACCGTACCTTTCTTACCCTTCAGGCCTTCTACTCGGCTACTAAACAGCAAGTGGGTGAACTTCTCCTTTCCTCCCACCCTTTCACTTCTCTACTTGATTTGTCCTATCTCACCTTATCAGATCTCTCTCCCTTTGTCTTGTGCCATCCTTAATACAAATCTTCAACTGCTCTCTTTACTCTAGCATTGTCCCTGCTACCCTCAACCATGCTACTGTTGTACCCGTCATAAAAAAGCCATCTCTTGTTCCGTCTTCCCCTTCGATCTACCTTCCCACATCTCTGCTGCATTTCTCCTCAAAGCTTTGGAATGACTTGTGTTTAACCATCTGGCATTCCTTCTCAATTCCAACTCTCTCCTCAATCTACTTCGATCTGGCATCTGCCTCCTCCAGTCTACTGGGATGGTTCTGATTAAAGTAACTAAAGATCTAGTCACAGCTAAATCCAAAGCCTTTGAAGCTGTTGATCATGTCCTACTTCTTAAAAAGCTGCAATCCCAAGGCCTCTGTGACACTGTCCTCTTGTGGTTCTTGTCCTATCTCTCTCAATGCTCATTCAGTGTCTCCTTTTCTAACGACAACTCCTCCCCTCATACTATCTTGGTTTGAATCCCCCAAGACTCCGTTCTTGGTCCCCTTTGTTTTATCTTTATACTGCCTCTTTTGGCACATGTACTCATTCCTGTAACTTATGCTACAAACTACAAGCTGATGACACCCAGATATCTCTCTACTGACCTGATCTCTTCCCCGCTCTCCTAAAACATGTTACTGGTTGCCTTTATACCATGTATGATTGGATGTCCTCCAGCTTTCTGAAACTTAATCTCTCTACAACCGAGCTTCACATTTTATCTCCTCATTATACTAATGTTCCTCTTTCGCTCTCCCTGCAAGTCTCCCTGCACCAGTCCATTTTTGCAAGCTTGCTGTCCTGGAGTTATCTTTGATTCTGGCCTCACCCTTGTACGTCACATCAAGTCTGCTGCCAAATTCTGCCATTTCCACCTTAAAAACATTTTCTGCATCCGCACTTTTCTTACACAAGTAGCTTTTTCATGCTCTTGTAATTTCTCACATTGATTACTGTAATTCTGTCCTATCTCTCTCCTGTCTCCTCAGAAACCATAATGCCTCATTACAATCCATAATGACTGCTGCCAGACTGATTTTTCTCTCCCGTCGCTCCTCTCACACCTCACCCCTCTTTCAAACCTTACATTGACTTCCTGTAGTCTATAGGAGTAAATTCAAAATACTAACCCTTACCTATAAAGCTTTAAATAACTCTATCCCAAGCTACATTTCTTCACTTATTCATAGGTATGCACCATCCGTCTCGGCGCTCTGCCAGAGACCCTCTCCTGTCCGATGCTTGTACCATTATTGTTAACTCTCTCTTGCAGGACTTCTCATGGGCAGCTCATTTCCTTTGGAACAGCCTGCCTGCCTACCCCAATCAGACTCTACCCTAGTATTCAATTATTTACAAAGTTTCTCAATACCCATTTCTTCAGAAAATCTTATGGCCTCCCAGAATAACTTATATTTCACAAACCTGTCTCTTGCACTCTCTTAAAGAGCCTCACTCCATTCTAACCTTCCAGTTCTGCTACTTTCCCACCTTGTTGATTGGTTGTTATCCCCCACTCTGCCCTTCCTATTGTGATTTTTATACCCCACCTCCTCTAGATTGTAAGCTCATTTGAGCAGGGTCCTCATCTACCTATTGTTCCAGTAGTCTTTTGTAATTGTCTCATTTATTGTTCAATTTATCCCTTTTATAATATTGTAAAGTGCTGTGGAACCATTTTGTGCTATATAATAATTCATGTGATCATGCATCCCTCAAGTACATTGAAGCTGAACACATATTTAGCATTATTTATTACACACTTGAGATAAAAGCACACAGTATTATTAGAGTCAATAGTGTTACACTTTATTGCAAATTATTTCATTTTACATTACAATTTTACGTATGTTCTATAGAACTTTTAGATAGAGACTATCTTTAAAAGTGAACCTATTAAACTAATTCTACTTAACAAAAATTAGCATTTCTTATGCTTGGGTTAATGCCTAGCGTAAATCCTGTCTATTTGTTAAACATTTATTAATTTTGTTTTTTATTGTGGATTTTAAGTGCATATCCCTTAAAGGAACACTCTGGTTACCATAACAACTTAATAGAAATGACATTGCTATGATGCCAGGAACATGAAGTTGTTATGATGCCAGCTTCTAGAACAACTCAACCTCAAAGTCAGCCTCCAGTGCCAGATATCCAGGTCCTCCAGGAGCATTCGGCATCTGAAACTGAGTTATAGGAAGCGCTGAATGCAACCAATGGGTGCAACGTTTCAGCCTGCACAATGGCTTGTGTGCAGGCTGAAATGTTGCTCTTTTGTTCCAATAAATCTTATTTTTGTATTACCCTGAGTGCCTGACTTTCGTCATATCTGCTAAATTGAGAATTGCCAACCTTGGGCCTGGAGCACGTGGATTGTATGCGAGAGTGCAGGATATTTTTGTGTATACTACTATAGCTGTGGGGCAGGGAGAGAAGTGGTATCAGATGAGGGAATGTAGTGAAGTAGGAAATGAAAAGGGGGGCAACTAGAGTTGAATGTCCATAGTGGTGTTATGGACATGCACAGATAGAGGTTTTCCATTTGTTGAATAGGGCATGGGAGGTGTTTTTATGAGCATGGTTTCAGGTGCTAAGGTTTTAGTGGTCAGGGTGGACGCAGCATTCTTTCCTTGAATTGTGGCCGCACTTTATCCTGGGTCAGCCCTGGCTTTAGTCTGTTTTCACTGACATGTTGTTGGTTATCTATTTACCAACATTCAGTGTTTAATAAATAGACCGCTTAATGAGTGACTCAATCAGTGGACCACGGGTTAAATAAGCACCATGCTTACTAAGAATGGAACATCTGAAAATGATGCTTGCAATCTAAATCAATATTTGTTTTCTTCTTAATATTTCTCCTCCTATGTACATTTATTTTCCCTTTAACATTCTGTTGCTCTCTTTGCTCCAAAAAGCTGTCCCGACAACCACCAGCCACAGCCCCTCTCTCCTCCTGTGATTAAGGAACAGGCAGATGAAATAACCTTATATGGAAAGCTGGTTAAATTTCAGCATATCTTTCCAGAGTGAAACATGCAGTGCCATAAAAACACCTCAAAAATGCCTGCAAACATTGCAACATCCAACCATTATGTTTAAGAATATATATATCCAAACATTATGTTTATTAAATATATATATGGTGTGCGTATGTGTTTTAAAGGTTTTTATACCTATAAATATTACCAAATGGGCCCCTGCTATTATTTAGATTATTTTAATTGCTGCAGAGATTTGTTGGAAAATTGTTCAGTTGAATTACAAATTAAATGTATTTGAACACAGCAGACAAATTACCCTGCTCTAAGGAACAAATTGCAGCTACAATAATGGTTTAATGTGAAAGGGAAGGTAATGATTTGGGTATTATTATATGGTAAGGTGGGTTGATGGTAGCATTAGTGTAGTTCTCATTTAACCCCTTAAGGACACATGACGGAAAGTTGTGTCCCTAAGGGGTTAAGGAAAGTGGATTAAACAAATGAAGGAAAATTGCTTTCAAGTCAACTGCAAATAGTCAATAAAATCTTACACATAGATTCAGCTTTTTTCCTTTTTTTTTTTTTTTAACAGGTAACCAAACAACAACCAGATAATAAAATGAACAGATTTTCCGTGTGAACTGCTGAAAAGTTATCAGCCAATTTTTGATAACCAAATGGAATATAAGTGCCTGTAACTATTATTATTCCAGTGATGCAGGTTTTAAATAATACAATATTGCAGTATATGTAATACTTTCTTTATTGCACTTAAACATATTTTAAAACAAACTTTTGAAAGTTTCTCCTCTAAGAAGTCTAAAGCAGCCACATGCATGTATAAAAATATGTACAAATACATTGCTTAAAAGTTCAAGTCCTAAGCTACTAGCCAAGCCTTAAAAGTTACTCACCACTGGAGTTTATGGTAAACTCACAAGGGCTACATTTTCACTTGCCAAAGGCTAGTGACGAGTGTAATTTTGAGTCCTACACATATAGATATATATACATGGGTGTGCAAATATAGCTTTCTTTTTTTCCATTTAAAAACAGTGATACAAGTATGTACCTCAATGTACCTAAACATAAGTTTAGTGATGAGCGAGTTTAACCAAGCAATGCGCTTTATACAATAAACATTTTTCTCACATATTGCACTCTTAAATGGCTTAGAATTTTTTAATTGAAAAACAGAATTATGCTGTCTTGTGTCCCACGCTATTCAGATAAGATATAATTTGTAGATATTTTTTTCTCTGCAGAATAATGGATTACCTGGAAAATAAATTCACAGAATATGGAACCTATATTCCCTGTTTGACCCCCGTCATTTCCCATGTTCACTTCCCATGAGTCAAGAAGCTGTAATCCCTTTAAATTCTCAATAAGCAAATGACAAGTTTGTTTTATTGTCTGCTATCCAGCAAAATACATCATCTTATGCATCTTAATCAATTATCACTGTCATAAAACATTTGGGCCGACATGGCATGATGTGTAAACAGTTGAATACCAGTCACATTATAAAACACAGCTAATTTTGGAAATATTGCCTAATTAGGGCAGCAGTTGGAGTGAAGCTACATGATTAAATGCTAACACAATAACTGCAAGAATCGCTGTTAAATAAATATTGCATGGTGTGGATAAATGTACCCATTGACAGTGAGTCTATATAAATACCCAAGTGGATTATTTATGATGTCAATTACTTGCTGAGTCAGAACTGAAGAGACCTCCTGAAAGACAATTTACTTCAGCCACTTAGGTACCTCTACCTAGAAAAGAAAACAAATACAGAAATATATTAAGGTTCTGTGTCATATTCAAAAGCTGGGACAAATGCCATAGGCCAGATTCCTTCTGAATATATATGACAATGGGCTTTAACTCTTGGGTCGGTGTACATAACCAGGTTATATCAGGCACATCATAAGTCTAACTGGCTTCCCTGGTGCAATAAAGACCCCTTTTACACTGAAAGTATCTAAAAAAAAAAAGTTATTTTGTTGAATATATTCTAGTATATTAGCATACAATTTAAGTAAGAACATGAGCTAGAAGATTTTACAATTCATTTTTTATCAGTTTCACCCTTCGGTACAAGAACCTTTACCGTTTTTGCCAATGAGTTGGCCCTGAACAGACTAGTATCAGCTTCAAGCTCCTCACAGAGGCAGTGACTGTAGTGTTCATGGTCAAGCCTGTAGTGTTCATTGTGCTTGGATTATTTCTTTAAGAAATGTTCAGTTACACATTACATATTCAAAAACCTTGTGGGTAAACATATAGCTGTATATTAACGAGCTTAGAGGAACAATCCAAGCACGATAATCAATGTAGGCCACTGTAATGTTGGTACCGTTCCTGATCCAATTATAGTCTAGGCACTAAGGAGGGATTATCTGATTTTGTATGGGAGTGTCCTGGACCTGAGAGCCAATGTAATTGTGTATTTGTTTCTACTGTGGTTTACTCTCAGGTCAAGGGGGGAATTTCCCCTTGCATGGGGACATGCATATAAGGCCAGTTGTCACTGCCATTAAAGCATTCCAGCTTGTACTCCCAGAACTATATGTCGTCTGATTACTGGGAGGGGAAAGGGCTATTCTTTAATCATGGTTCTAGTGTGGAGGATTCAACGGGGAAAGTCCTTGTAAGGACTAGAGCTCCCAGGACTAGACATGTGCAATTTGTTTCGGTCCAAATGTGAATTCGGACGAATTTTGGGCAATTCGAACATTCGGGTACTTCCGAATGTCCGCATAGATGAATTGCCAAATTGTCGAAGACCCGAAGTTCTGAAATTACCGAATTTCCGAAGTGCAAAGTTCCGAAGTGGCCGAAGTTCCGAAGCACAGTATTGCCTAAGAACTAATATACTTACCCAGTGTAAGAATGAAGAATGTTACACTGTATACAATTTTAAATAAAAAGTATACAAACATAGCCAGGATTCAGCTGTAAGCATTTGCAACACTTACAACAATCAAGTAACACACATTCATATAAAATGTAAGTTACTTAGCCAGTCAATATAATGACAGGAATGAATAAGTAGATAACTCCCTAATTCCCACGGTATTAGGGAGCTATCTACTAAAAGGCTGAAAGACCTAAATTGGTCTTTCAGACAAATTTACTAATACTAAGTAAAGATTACTTAGTATTAGTAAATTATGCCCCTACTCGCTATACTGCGAGTAGGGGCATGTCTATTAAACAGTGAGCAGCCTGTGGCTGCTAACTAAAAAAAGACCCATTTAGAACCACTACTTCCATTTTTAACTCCTCACTGAGTCAATGAGTGAGAGGTTATAATCAAAACCAGTTTGCCCAAATTTAGTTTGAAACGCAATTATACAATCAAAGTTCTGAAAAACTGAAACAGAGCATGGCTGTATTTGGCAAACTTAATTAGAGCATGGCTGTACTTCGACTCGCAAAAAAAAGTTTTTTAATTTCATTAAAAAAAAATGATTAGGCATAAACAAATTTTTCCGCCATGTAAAGTCTAACTTTTACTAAATGTAACATATAAGCACTGATGTCTTTAGATGTCCTCATGGAAATCAGTTTCTTGTTCTGAGCATGTATTCTGTTTATATATCTATTCTGGGTCATGCAAAGCTGTTCAGTTCTCATCAGGTTTTTCCTTCTACAACCAACAATAAGCATCCAATGTATGCACTTTTAAAAGTGCTAGTAGATTTGCTACCAAAGCTTTATATTGAAAGAAAAACCCTATTTAAAAATAGGTCTTTCTCCTACCTGCCAGTCAGTTCTTCAGCATAAACTCTATGCTGATGAAAGGGTCGGCTTACAAGGGAGAGCAAAAGAGAACTTTCTGCTCTTCACACAATAGCAACATAACTGAGCCAGCTAGTCAGGGTCAAACAGAAGGTCTGTTTGGGCGAACTGAAGGGGGGCATTTCAGAAGAGTAACACCCACGAAACGTAGGAAAGGGGGGCCATGGATTGGAGGTAAGATGTGTATATCTCAACATTTTACAGTGACTACATCATGTATCTCTGTGATATATGATGTATTTAATGTATTCGGGGAGATTTAGGATATCCTTAAAATGAAGTGACATGTTCAACCTTAACTTCCAAGAAAAAAAAAATAAGCTCTGATACATCTTGACTTAAAGTATCGGTTAAAGACTCTTCCTTGTAACCTATTAGGTCTATCCATCCATCTATTCATCCATCCACACATTTGAGATGCTTGTCTAATATTAAACTCCAATCGGCCCACTGTAATTACACCTTTTTAATTTGATTGCTCACCTTTTTCAGTTTTTTGATGTTACTAGTTCTGATGGATTCCAGGAGTTGATCCCTGCTGTTCTTTTCTGAAGGTCCTGTCTTTTCCACTATTCTCCTTTGTGATGCAGGAGAGAGGGAATTCCTGATGTTTTCATTAATAAGGGGTGGTGCAAGAGGGGCAAATGGTGGAGGGGGTGGAGGAGGGGCAGGAACATCTCCTTTTTTAAAAGTATTTCTCTGTGAAATTTTAGGAGATGGCAGAGGTGATGACTTCGGAGTAACTTTCTTAGGAGCAACAATCTTGGGAACTTCCAAGGTGTCTTTTTTATTATTGTCTGAACCTTGTAACAATTTCTGCTCTGCTAACCTGCGCTGCCTTTGTTTGTCCATGTTACGGCTGAGCAAGTTTGTTACTGTCATGCGTGGCCCTGCTAATTCAAAGTGGTAGCCAAGTTTTAGTAAAGTGGTGTTCTCTTTAAGCATTTTAGCTATCTCCATCTCCGTTTTGCCTCCACAGATATGGCGCTGGTTGTGGAAGCGTAACTCAGTCAGTGTATTGTTGTGCTGAAGAGCTCTGAAGATAGCCAATATTCCCTTTCCTGTGACATGGTTGGAATCCAGGTTGATACTGGTGATAGTTTTGTTTGATTTCAGCATTGCAGCAATGACCAAAGCGATGTGGTCATCTGCACGAGTGTTGGCCAAAGAGAAAATCTTGACTACTGTATTGAATTCAAGTGCTTCAGTAAAACTCATTAGAGTTTCTATTGTGATGCAGTCTGAGTTGTTAAGGTTGAGTTCTATTATTTCACTATCATTGTTTTTCACTTTCTCCAATAGTTCATCAAACATACTGGATGACTCGTCATCTTTGCCACCTTCTGCCTGATTCTGAGTTCCATTTTCTGGAGCTCCAGACTCTGGCTCAACAGTTTTTGGCAAAATCTTTTTTCCCTCCTCCACTGATGTATTCTTATTAGATGGTGGTATTTCTTTTTTTACTTCTGTCTCAGACTTTTTATTGAATATAGGCTTATTTTCTGGCTGTTTTTCATTTTTCACCTCTTTCTTTTCTGGTGTTTCTTTTGCTTTTGCCTTTTCTTTGACCTCTTTAGTGCTTTCTTTCTTATTTTCTGCTTGTTTTGTACTTACTTCTCCAACAGTTTTTTTAGACTCAGTTCTCTCTATCTTTTCCTTAACCATGCTCTTGCTGGTCCTATCCTCTCCCTGTTTTTCCTTCGTCTTGGTAACTTGAGGAACCTGAATATCCTTTTTTTTTTCCTCCTCTTTTTTATTTGCACTTCCCAGTGATTTTGATTCCTTTACATCTTTAGACACTTTGTTACTACGGTTATTCTGTTGGAGAGGTTCGGTGCTCTTTTCTTCACTTTTTTGTTTCTTTAACTTCTCTTGAGCTTTTGCAGCCTGTCAAAATAATAAAATAATCAAGATTAGTTTAGTGAGCAACCACTCTTAAATGGCATTTATATTTATAATGCAGACAATTTGTACTATAATGTAGATGCAAAAAAATAGAACCGGTATTGTCTTTTGTTAAAATTTAAAACCTTAGGGAAGTGGTTTTCAAACCAGTCCTGATTTAGGGATTATCCAGGATTTAGGGATTATCCAGTTAGGTCTAAGGTGTTTTAGAAAGAAAATAAATAAATAAATAAATACAACACACCTTGACACAACTGGGACATCCTTAAATCCTGGACTGGTAGGCGTGCCTTGAGGACAGTTTGGAAACCACTGCCTTAGAGTATACAGAACACTCTGGTACCTCCACCATCCCTACATGACATCTGTCTGGCCGTAAAGTCAATTTAGCCGAACAGATCCAGTCAAATACCATCAAAATGTGTTCAAGGTGGGCTTCCCCTGTGTGACTGAATATGGCAATATCATCCAGATACACAAATGCATAGTCCTGAAATCCCTCCAAAAGCTGGTCAGCCATCCTTTGAAAAATATTTGCCAATAACCTTTGCAAAGTTGAGCCTCCAGACTGACTTGGTCTATGGTCCCTGGAGACCTGGTTAGTAAGTCGGGTAAGGGGAGGTAGTCACTGTCCTTGAAAGCTGGGGCGTATTTCGCCGCCAATTCCACCGGTCTTTCTAGGTAAAACGTGAAAGGGCTTCCGTACCCTTACATTCTGACAGTAGGCACTATATACGTAGTGTCGCCGATGCACTCCACTGTAATTGATGGGAGTGTTTCTGTAATGTACGTTTATGATTGGTTGTTGTGCAAAACCCTGTGGGTGGTACTAATGTGTAAGAATGTGTATATAAGAACAATAAACCCACAGCTCTGTCTGTTCACTGCTTGATCTTCAACACGGAGCTTTGTCTCGTTCTTGGGGGGATTTATTATATGCTGTTCCAGTTTGACTGCTAGGAGTGTAAACCTATTCATATGGTTTTTCCTATTCGGCTGTTTACAGCATTCATATGTTTTCCTGTTCGGCGGATTGGTGTTCTGCAGTAGCTGTGCCTGTGCATCTGAAAAGGGGAATATCGCCTAAACGGTTTTAACCCCTGGTGTGCAAAACGGTCCGTTACAGCATAGTATACCACGGTTAGGATATATCTCTTCACTGAGGGGCTGGGATTACTCAGGGGCCCTACCATGTCCACCGCTACCCAGTAGAATGGTTCCTCGACTATAGGTAGGGGATTCAACTTTCCCATAGGGTGGTCCCCTCTTTTTCCAACCCTCTGACAAGTGTTGCAGGTCCTGCAATATTCCTGAAAAATGCCTTGGTCAGACTTTCCTTGGTCTTATGGATCCCTAAATGTCTAGCAAGGGGAATGTCATGAATAGCTCAGGTCTCTATTTTAGAGGTACTACCAGTTGGCAGCTACCCTCCCAGTTCCCTCAGTTACTCGGTACAGTAGCCCCTTTCTTGGTCTAGCCCCCCTTGCTGTGTGTCAGCCTTCCTTCTATACCCACCAAGCATGGGGTCCTCTCTCTGTTCCCTCTCACAGTCTTGGGGGGAGCCCCAGTATGGGGCAGGTTGGGCAGTTAAGGTCTGGTAAGTATGTCCTCAGAGTGCAAAAGTTCCATCGTTCTGGCCTGGAGTCGGGTTGTTACAGGGAGGGCATCCTTTGGATTTGTTGCTGTGAACTGGGAGGTTAAGCCTCCCAAGTCGTTACCTAATAGTACTTTGGCTGGTGAGTCTTTCATAATCCCAACTTCTAGGTATTTGGGCCCCGAGCCACAGTTTAGGTGGATCCAGGCGGTAGGAGTTGATGGATGGTCCACCGGCCACAGTGCGATCGGTTTGTTCAAAGTCAGTAAACCAGCTGCTGTCGGGTCTTCACCATCATGGAATTCGTCAGCCAGACGAGCTGCATTCGGTCATGGGGAGTGTGGTCAAATAATTTCTCCAATAATAGCAGTTGTACGGCATCTACCAAGGTAACAGCCTGGCATTCCTGCATTCAGTTTTGAGTTGCTCATTACATTTGAAAAGCCCATTCAGCATATGAGTCTTTTCCCCCTTTTCGCAGTCTGCAGAACCATCACCTGTAAGCTTCGGGGGTAAACACATACCTGGCCAGCAGTTTCTCTTTAACCTGCTCGTAGTTGTGAATGTACTCCCAAGTATGCCTCAGCTGCCTGTCCTTAGATAGCAGCCCATTTGGCTTTGTCGAGTGCTTCCAAGGCATATCGTCAAAATCTTGACGATAATTGCCAATATCTTCCTCTCCATTCATGAATGCTGTGAAATCCACAAAGTTAAGTTTTCATGGTCCTACACTGCTGGATCCCTGTATTGACTCCATATCTCTGAGTGATGCTCAGGTTTTTTGCACTCGGGCTTTCAGCACCTCAATCGCTTGAACCATCACTTGCAAGATCATGTCCTTCAAGGGGTTTGAGCCCAAGTTGCTAGCCACCATCGTACATCCCTCTGGAATTTATATTCCTCTGTGTTTCCTTGTAAGGAGGTACTAGATCTGTCGCTCTCCATAAGTTCGGCGATGAGTGAGGTTTTTTACTTATTGCTCGCTCTCGAACTTCCAGTAGATTCTTCAACATGGTTCGCTTTAGTAGTTTGTACTGCTGGTCCATTCATTTGTTTTCTTGCTCGGGACATTCATTCAGTCAGGAGAGAATCCTGCCACTGCCACCAGATGTATCAGAGCTCCTGTAGCTAGAGTGGTAGCTCTGTTGTAAGTCTCTCTGTCATTGTCAATATACCTAACATGCAAACTAAGGGGTTCTTACCAATACACAAACTAAGACGTATTACCAGGCCTTAGAGTGGCCGGACTTAACATGAATGTAAGTACAGCAAGAAGTATAGAATAGTCAGACAGGCCAAGATCAGGATTGGAGGCAGGAGGATAAATGTAGAACAAAGCCAAGGGTCAAGGATACCAGAAGAATCGATAAACGAGAAACAAGCCAAAGTCAAATATCAGAAAAGTCAACACTAAGAAAATGCACTCTTGGGCTACAAAGACCAGGGCAGGGCAAGGAAGTGATGTCAAAGGGAGGTATAAATAGACAGGGGTCAAGTCCTGGGGAAAAAAGTGTGGGAACTCACCCAAGATTCCCACACTTCCCCCCTAAAAAAATAAAATAATTTACACTCCTATGCATATAGTTCAGTGCAAGGTGTGTATAGTGAATGTAGTGTGTTTGTAGTGAATGCAGAGTATGAATAATGAATGTGGTGTGTTTGTAGTGAGTGCAGAGTGTGTATAATGAATGTAGTGTGTTTGTAGTGATTGCAGAGTGTGTATAATGAATGCCATGTGTGTAGTGAGTGCAGAGTGTGTATAATGAATGTAGTGTGTTTGTAGTGAGTGCAGAGTGTGTATAATGAATGTAGTGTGTTTGTAGTAAGTGCAGAGTGTGTATAATGAATACAATGTGTGTAGTGAGTGCAGTGTGTATAATGAATGCACAGTATGTATGTAACGAACCCTGAAGTGGTAGCTATGGGTTCGTATGATTTGAGCCGAACGGCTGAGAGCCTGGGTGATTATGGCTCGCCGTTCGGTTCTTCTGGTCAGTAGTTAAAGTCCAAAGAAACGAAATCCTCTAGTACAGCTTTCCCTAAGTAGTAATCAGGTACCCAAACACCAGCCGAAACATGATGAAGGGTGTAACAAGACTCATGTTTATTGAGACCACCCAGGCTTTTATGGAGGTCCCCTTGCAGGAGGACCTCCCACAATACACAAACTAAATAGCCAATCATAAGGTACAGTTACACTTAAACACTCCCTGTCTCCGCCTGTGAGATTATGAGATAAGTTAAGGAATAACCTAATTATCTCCAGACGAAGTGCACACATTTCCCCCAAAACTCAGAACATTTATGCTTAAGGTATCCCCACAAATGTCACATCCCCTGATTCTGAAAATGTCAAATAACTCCATAATCCACAAACGGAGCCTCCTGGCTCATAGGAGCGAATGTTCCCCTCATACGAATACATCAAAGTACCGAAAAGCGCTCTCCTAGCTGTTCGGGAAATACAGTTCCATCGTTCGTATGTTTGAGACCAGTGTTCGGGAAGTCGAGTGTCCGATTTTAGTTGCAGACACTGGAGGACCAAGTCCTGCTGCCTTTGTGCCGAACAAACAAGAGAGAGCGCTAAATTGACGGGCTCCTTTGAAGTCAATGAGCCAGGAGGGTGGTCTGTGTTCGGTAGTTTCAATCTACCAAACCAATGTGACATAAACTAACCGAATAAACTAAACAGATGGATGCTCAGAGAAAACCCCGAACTTCTTGTGGGTTTTCTCACAATGTATAATGAATGTAGTGTGTTTGTAGTGAGTGCAGAGTGTGTATAGTGAATGTAATGTGTTTGTAGTGAGTGCAGAGTGTGTATAATGAATGCAGTGTGTGTAGTGAGTGCAGTGTGTATAATAAATGTACTGTGTAGTGAGTGCAGAGTGTGTATAATGAATGTAGTGTGTTTGTAGTGAGTGCAGAGTGTGTATAGTGAATGTAGTGTGTTTGTAGTGAGTGCAGAGTGTGTATGATAAATGCAGTGTGTTTGTAGTGAGTGCAGTGTGTATAATGAATGTAGTGTGATTGTAGCGAGTGCAATGTGTGTATAGTAAATGTAGTGTGTTTGTAGTGAGTGCAAAGTGTGTATAATGAATGCAGTATATGTAGTGAATGTAGTGTGTTTGTCGTGAGTGCAGAGTGTGTATTGTGAATGTAATGAGTGCAGAGTGTGTACAGTGAATGTAGTGTGTTTGTAATGAGTGCAGAGTGTGTATAATGAATGTAGTGTGTTTGTAGTAAGTGCAGATTGTGTATAATGAATGCAGTGTGTGTGTGTGCTGGATGAAGTTTGTGTGTGTGCTGGATGAAGTTTGTGTGTGTGCTGGGGGATGTGTGTGTGTGCTGGATGATGTGTGTGTGTGTGTGTATGCTGGATTATATGTGTGTGGGTGCTGGATGATATGTGTATGTGCTGGATGATATGTTGATATGTGTGTGTGTGTGTGTGCACGATGATGTATGTGTATGTGTGTGTGCTGGATGGTGTGTGTGTGTGCTGGAGGATGTGTGTGTGTGTGTGCGGGATGATGTGTGTGTGCTGGATGATGTGTGTGTGTGCTGGATGATGTGTGTGTGTGTGTGTGTGCTGGATGATGTGTGTATGTGTGTGCTGGATGATGTGTGTGTGTGTGTGTGCTGGATGATGTGTGTGTGATGGATGATGTGTGTGTGTGTGCTGGATGATGTGTGTGTTGGATGATGTGCGTGTGTGTGTGTGCTGGATGATGTGTGTGTGTGTGTGTGTGTGCTGGATGATGTGTGTGTGTGTGCTGGATGATGTGTGTGTGTGTTGGATGGTGTGTGTGTGCTGGATGATGATGTGTGTGTGTGCTGAATGATGTGTGTGTGCGTATGTGTGTGTACTGGATGATGTGTGTGTATGCTGGATGATGTGTGTGTGTGCTGGATGATGTGTGTGTGTGTGTGCGCTGGATGATGTGTGTGTGTGCTGGATGGTGTGTGTGTGGTGTGTGCTGGATGATGTGTGTGTGTGTTGGATGGTGTGTGTGTGTGTGTGTGCTGGATGATGATGTGTGGGTGCGTGTGTGTGTGTACTGGATGATGTGTGTGTATGCTGGATGATGTGTGTGTGTGTGCTGGATGATGTGTGTGAGTGCGCTGGATGATGTGTGTGTGTGCTGGATGGTGTGTGTGTGTGTTGCTAGATGATGTGGTATGTGTGCTGGATGATGTGCGTGTGTGTGCTGGATGATGTGGGTGTGTCTGCTGGATGATGTGTGTGTGTGTGCTGGATGATGTGTGTGTGGTGCTGGATGATGTGTGTGTATGCTGGATGATGTGTGTGTGTGTGTGTGTTGGATGGTGTGATGTGTGAGTGTGTGCTGGATGATGTGTGTGCTCTGGATGATGTGTATGTGTGTGTGCTGGATGATGTGTGTGTGTGTGTGTGTGTGTGTGCTGGATGATGTGTGTGTGTATGTGTGTGTGTGTGTGCTGGATGATATGTGTGTGTGTGTGTGTGCTGGATGATAGGGGGGAAGCATTTTTTTTAAAATTGATGTGTTTAGATTTCTTTATTTAATTCCCCCCTCCCTGCTTCTTACCTTGTCAGGGAGGGGGAGATCGCCTGGTGGTCCTGTGGAGGGAGCCCGCCACTGTACACGGGGGGCCAAGGACACGCTGTGATGTCTCTCCAGCTCTAACTCTCGCGAGACTTGCCTGCGTGCTGTGCAGAGTGTTGCCATGGTAACCTGTGGCAACGCTCTGACAGCCGCGGGTCTCGCAGATGTGAGCTGCAGCTGGAGAGGGAACACAGCGTGTGCTGGTAGCAGGGCAGGTCCTGCAGGACTGGTAACGGCAACGGCGTTCCTGCTTTGGAAAAAGTGCAGGAACGCTGTTCCCATGCGTTCCTGCAGGAGTCGAGCCCTGTAAATAGGGCTAAGTGTGAGCTGATAGGCTAGGGAACCAATTAGGGTAATAATTGAACAGATATAAATTGAGTGTTAGTCCAGATGTGAAATAGGTTACTTCCTCTTTAAGGGGCCAAAGACAACGAAGGCGCATGCCCCCTATAACACGCTCCCAGATTCCGCAAGAAGAATATTGAATATAGCACCTGCTTACCCAAACATCAGTCATGATTTGATGAAGGCTAAAACAATGGGTTTTATTGAATAAGGACACAGGTTTATATACACAGACCCCCAGCATGAGGTCGCTGTTCAGTACACCCAGGCGCCTCTGTCTGGGAAATAATTGTGTCTGCTATCACAAAGATCGCAAAAAGATACATAAAACAACATTGTTCCCCCACATATTATATATTCCTAAAAGGTCTGATCCAAGCACCTATTCAGTGAAAATAGCTCTTGGATCTCTGGGGTGTAGCGGAGCGGCAATATTAAATCCCATGATCTCCGCTGGTTAAGAAGGTAATCCACAGTCAAGCACTGAAAAGCAAGGCAATATCCCAAATCCCCCAGTAACCGGACGAAACACAGTTCTGGGAGTCAACTGAGGTCTTTATTTGCAGCTCCAGTATATATACAACTCCCCAAGCAAGGGGTTTCCATACTGCCTTAGCAGGGGTAACACAGTAGGGGACTACATGGGGGACTTCACATTTTGGGCATTTCTCCCATCAGGCACTGCTGCACGAGAGGGATCCTCCCACTGGAATGTACTATTAAGTGGATTATCCCTCCGTGCAGCAGAACCGGCAATTTATATTAAAATACATAACTTTTTCGAATATTGGGTTGATTTGCACGAATGGACGTTCGGTAGATAGCTGGGGTCTGAGCACATAATTCGTGAGATTACCGCTCAGATCCCAGCTAAAACAACCGAACGCCGCACGAAAAACATATTCATCAAAACATACATTCAAAAGACTGATTGGCATACGGGGAATAAAATACCGAACGGCCCGGAACTCCCGAACGGCCTGGAAGTCCAGCAGTGTTCGCGCCGTCGAGTAGCCATTTTTAGTAGCATGCGCTCGACGACCAAACACCGGTGGAGGAACAAAGGATCCAAGATGGCCGACCGCCACGTGGTCGGTAGTCGAACATTGTTGCAATCGGTTAACAAGCGCCACACGTCTCTTAGTGTGTGGGCTATGGCAGGATAGTTCATTCGGTTCACGAACAGCCTGCAAAGGCGCTGTTCGTGAAACGAAATGAAATACAGCTATCTGCTTTCGGCAGATAGCCCATACAGGCAATGCAAGCATACGGTCACAGTACATTACACCCAGGAACATATAACATTACCAGAACTACACAGGCAACCCTCTCTGTATTGTCCAATTGTATAGGTTTGCCACAATGCTCCCCCAGAACCAAGCCGGCATACACAGTCTGATCCCAACGGATCGGCTTGGGGATGTCCGGAGGAGGGCTCACAGATCACTTCTCAAGGTCTGTTTGTCTAGATAACCCATCGGCGTTACCGTTTTGTTTCCCAGGTCAATAATGGATTGTAAAGTCAAAAGGCTGCAGCGCCAAACTCCAGCGCAGCAGCCTGGCGTTGTCTCCAGCCCAGGGGCGTACCTAGAGCATTTGGCACCCGGGGCGGATCCTATGCTTGGCACCCCCCCCCCAACCCAAAAAAAAAAAAAAAACCTGTAAAAAATGTTAAAGGTTTTCTTTAATTAATCCACACTCCTTAATTAAACCATACCCCTTAATTAATCCATACCCCTTAATTAATCCATACCCCTTAATTAATCCACACTAATTCATCCACACACCCTTAATCCACCCCTGTGAGCAAAGAAAAGGGTTGCCCATAGAGATATGGTTGTAACGTTTTCAGGGCCCACACCACAGCCAGGCATTCTTTTTCAATGGCGGCGTAGCTCACTTCCCGGGGCAACAACTTCCGGCTTAAATAAGCTACAGGGTGTTCTCCGTCATCTGCTCCAACTTGGCTCAGTACTGCTCCCAATCCAAACATTGAAGCGTCTGTGTGGACAAGAAAGCGTTTAGTTGGATCAGCAAGTACAGGTGCATTAGTCAGAGCTGTCTTAAGTTGGGTGAATGCCTGTTCACACTCTGGGGCCCAGACAGCCTGTCGAGGTAGGTTCTTGCGCGTCAGGTCAGTCAGGGGTTTGGCCAGGGCACTGTAATTGGGCACGAATTTTCTATAGTAACCGGCTTGGTCCTAGGGGTGGGCCACTTAGCTACGGCTTCAATTTTTGCTGGCTCAGGTATTTGTTGCCCACTTCCTACCCAGTGGCCCAAGTACTGCACTTCGGCCATCCCTATGTGATACTTGCTAGGCTTCAGTGTCAACCCTGCCTCTCCAAAACGATCTATTACTGCCCCTATGTGTTGTAAATGCTCGGCCCAGGTCTGGCTATATGTGGCGATATCGTCCTAGTATGCGCATACATAATCCTGGAACCCATCCAGTAGCCGATCTACCATCCACTGAAAGGTTGCCGGGGCGTTCTTCATCCCGAATGGCATGACCCTATACAAGCCAAACGGGGTGACAAACGCCGACTTGGGGATGGCATCTTCGGCTAATGGAATCTGCCAGTATCCTTTACATAGATCTATGGTGGTGAGATACTGGCCTCTTGCCATCCTATCTAGCAGCTCATCTATCCGGGGCATCGAGTAGGCATCAGACACCGTTTTCTCATTCTTAGGTACCAGGACTACCGGCGATGCCCAGGGGCTATCAGAGTGTTCGATAACCCCTAACTGCAACATCTCTTCAATTTCTTTCCTCATGTGTTCCCTGACGGATTCAGGAATCCGATATGGGGTTTACCGCATCGGTAGCTGTCCAGGGGTTTCAACTCGGTGGGTGGCCAGCAGAGTGTACCCAGGCAAGTTGGAGAAAGTGGCGCCTTTCGCCGCTATCAACTCCTGGACCTGAGTTCACTCTTGAGGGCTTAGCTGCTCCCCCAGTTGAACCCCCTTGGAGGGCTCTGCCTGCTCTAACAGATCGGGTAGTGGCAGATTCTCCTGATCTTCCGAGGCAGGCGTGCATATGGCGGCCACGTCCTCGGTCCTCTCGTGGTAGGGTTTGAACAAGTTCACATGGAGCATGTGTCTCTTCCCTACCCCGGAGCATGGGCCGATCACATAGGTGGTGTCGCATCTCTACTCTACCACCTGGTATGGGCCCTGCCAGACGGCCTGCAGTTTGTCTGTGCGGACAGGTTTTAAAATTAACACCTTCTGTCCCACTTGAAAACTACGGTCTCTGGCCCCCCTGTCATACCAGCAGTGCTGCCGTTGTTGGGCCGCCTGTAGGTTGGTGCGTACGGCCTGGGTTAACTCCTCCAAGCGGTCCCTGAACTCTAGCACATATGGTACAATAGGGGTCCCATCTGCGCTACTCTCTCCCTCCCAATGCTCTCTAATTAGGTCCAACGGTCCCCGTACTCTTCTCCCAAATAACAACTCAAATGGGGAAAAACCTGTTGATTCTTGGGGTACTTCCCTATAGGCAAATAGCAGATGGGGAAGAAATCATTCCCAGTCCTTATGAGCCTCTACGTACGGAGCATCTGCTTTAGGGTACCACTGAATCTTTCGCATAACCCGTTGGACTGGGGATGGTAAGCGGAGTTGATGATCGGCTTAATGCCACATATCCTCCACAATTGCTGGGTGACCTCGGCCGTGAATTCAGAGATTATCTCCTGAGGGAATCCTACCCTAGAGAAGACTTTCATCAAGGCCTCCGCTACCGTTTCAGCGTGAATGTTGGGCAGAGCGATGGCTTCAGGGTACCGGGTGGCGTAGTGGTTAGGATATTCTCCATATACCGCTTCCCAGAGGGACTAGGCTTAGGTAATGGCCCTACTATGTCCACGGCCACTCGGCTAAAAGGTTCCTCAATAATGGGCAGGGGGCACAGTTTCGCTTTGTGGCAGTCCCCCCTCTTACCTACTCGCTGACATATGTCACATGAGGTGCAGTAATGCCTCTCGTCTTTGGAAATTCCCAGCCAGAAGAAGGCGTGTGTCAGCCGATAACGGGTACGAGGAACTGACGCTGCTGGGTTTCGAACTCTGGTTTACATGGTGCTAAACCTCTTCCTTACCAGTACACCAGCCTGCCTTTTGCAAATTTACCTGAGATCTGATACTATTGCTTGGAGAGTCAAGGTTATCAGTGACAACTCTATTCAGCTGTGTCTGGTCAGGTGTCTGATTCTTGGCCTATAAAAGCCACTTCCTGTCTCTGTACCTTTGCCAGATTATTGTGGTTCCTGTACTCTCTAATCAAGCGTGTTCCTGTTTCTCCTTCCTGTTGCTGAATTTGGACTGTTTTGACTTTGCTGCTTCTCCTTCCCACTGACCTCGGCTTGCCTCACTACGATTATCATCTTTCTGTTCCAGTCTCCCATCTCTGCTTAAGACCAGAAGGCCACTCAAGGCTCAGGGGCTCAACCACCTGGGTAACGAGTGGCTACCTCTGGCAGAAAACATTGCTGATCTGTCTACTGGACTCCAAAACTTTGTAACATCAATATCATTACACGGGTCATCCCTAAATGACCAGAGAGGGGTATATCATGAGCTATCCTCAGGAGCTCCTGCCTATATTTTTGGGGAACTACTAGCTATTTAGTATTTACCATGACAGAGCCCCCTATCACTCTCTCTGCTACCCGGTATAACAGTCTTTTCTCCCATATATACCGCTCCACCTCTAGCCCGGCCTGATCAGTGCTTACCCTATCCCGGTATACCTGCAACGTGGGGTCTGACTGAACCTCGGCTTCAAATGTGGTTGGGGTGTCCCAGGTCATATGGGTCAAGGGCGGGTCATGGTCTCTTACCTGAGCCTCAGAGTGTGTTGGTGGAACCGTGGTGCGAGCCTGTTGCCGAGTGGTCACCGGATGTGCTTCTTGCAGAGGGGCCTGAGGTACAAATGCAGATGTCATCCGGCCCAAGTCATTCCCTAATACCACATCCGCGGGTAGCTTCTTCATGATAGCCACTTCCACTACCCCTTCCCCAGCACCCCAGTTCAAATGTACCTTTGCAGTGGGTAGGCGGTACATTGCTCCCCCCGCCACCCGGACTGCCACAGACCCGCCAGTGTGAGCGGTACCCGGGACCAAATGTGGAGCCACCAGAGTCAATGTGGCTCCTGAGTCACGTAGTCCCTGTACTTCCTTGCCTTCTACAAACACGACTTGGTGATGGTGTTGCCGGTTGTCAGTGGCCTGCATAGACATCACCTCGTGTAAAATGCCCATGGGTTCCTCTGTCTGAATGCTCAGCAGCTCTTGGGTGTCAGGTTCCACCTGGTAGTGATGTGCCGCTGCCCTGGGTGTTGGGTTCTGCCTCACTTGGTTCCAGGCTTGTCTGCTCCGGTTCTGTGTGCATTCTCTGGACATATGTCCCCACTGTCGGCAGGTATGGCACTGAATATTGGATCAGCCGTTGTAGCGAGAGGGAGGTGGTGGGTTCCCTTGGACCGGTCTAAACGGAGTGGGGTTGGTGGTTGCGGGTGTTACTGTGCTGGGTTGCCCAGGAGGTCTTGTGTAGTTCCGATTAACCAGCCCATGATGTCTTCTGGCATCAAAATGTTGGTCAGCCAATCTGGCGGCTTCAGGTAAGGTGAGAGGTTTACGGTCCCTCACCCATTCTTGTGCTTCAGGGGATAATCCGTTGAAAAATTGTTCCAAGAGCATAAGTTGGCACAGTTCCTCCATGGTGTCGGCTTGGCTTGCCTGTATCCACCCCTGCGATGCTTGGTCCAGCTTGTGCGCCCCTTCCGCATACGAATCTTTATCTGGTTTGCGCAATCCACGGAATTTGCGCCGATAAGCTTCTGGCGTAATGGCATACCTCTCGAGTATGGCCCTTTTTACTTTTGAATAGTCTTTGCTGTCCTCCCTAGGGACAGCGTGATACACTTCTGCTGCCCACCCCGCCAATTCTCCTGCTAGCAGGGGCACCCATACTGCCTGCTCTAGGTCGTGCAGGTCACATAGCCGTTCAAAGTCCTGCAAGTACCCATCAATCTCATCCTTCTCCTCACAGAACATCTTGAAGGCATGATAAGGTATTTTTGGCTTTACCTGACCATAGATGGAGGTAGTGATGGATTCTGCCCTGGACGGTGCCTCCTGTTGGTGTTGTGCCATCACATACTCCTGCACATCAGCCATCAAGACCGTCAGGATGTCCAGGGGTACTGGCTGCGGTAAAAACTCCAGCCGGGTTCTCATTTCCCTTTGGTACGGGGTTTCTTCCCTGGCTGGTGGGGGTGTGCTGTTGTGAGCTTGGTCGCCCTTCATCAGTTCAACGATCAGCGCGGCTTTGGATTTGTTGCTAGCTATCTTTCCTCTAGCTTCCAGCAGTTCTTTCAGTGTCTGCCGTTTTAATGTAGCATAATCCGTCTCCATTCACTTCTGTTTTCGGTTCTTTTGTTGCATTCGAATTGCCATTCCCTTTTCCTGTCCGGCAGTTTCAATTGCACTAACCACGCTTTTCGGCTGTAAGGTTGGATCCCGTCGCTTGCCAACAATTGTAGCGGAGCGGCAATATTAAATCCCACGATGTCCGCTGGTTAAGAAGGTAATCCACAGTCAAGCGCTGAAAAGCAAGGCAATATCCCAAATCCCCCAGTAACCGGACGAAACACACTTCTGGGAGTCAACTGAGGTCTTTATTTGCAGCTCCAGTATTTATACAAGTCCCCATGCAAGGGGTTTCCATACTGCCCTAGCAGGGGTAACACAGTAGGGGACTACATGGGGGACTTCACATTTTGGGCATTTCTCCCATCAGGCACTGCTGCACGAGAGGGATCCTCCCACTGGAATGTAATGTTAAGTGGATTATCCCTCTGTGCAGCAGAACCAGCAATTTATATTAAAATACATAACTTTTCGAATATTGGGTTGATTTGCACGAATGGACGTTCGGTAGATAGCTGGGGTCTGAGCACATAATTCGTGAGATCACCGCTCAGATCCCAGCTAAAACAACCGAACGCCGCATGAAAAACATATTCATCAAAACATACATTCAAAAGAACGATTGGCATACGGGGAATAAAATACCGAAAGGCCCGGAACTCCCGAACGGCCAGAAAGTCCAGCAGTGTTCGCGCCGTCGAGGAGCCGTTTTTAGTACCATGCGCTCGACGACCACACACCGCTGGAGGAACAAAGGATCCACGATTGCCGACCGCCGCATGGTCGGTAGTCGAACGATGGCCACCTAGGAGAGCCTCTAATTACCGATTGCAACATTGTTGCAATCGGTTAACAAGCGCCACACGTCTCTTAGTGTGTGGGCTATGGCAGGATAGTTAATTCGGTTCACGAACAACCCGCAAAGGCGCTGTTCGTGAAACGAAATGAAATACAGCTATCTGCTTTCGTCAGATAGCCCATACAGGCAATGCAAGCATACGGTCACAGTACATTACCAGAACTACACTGGCAACCCTTAAAGCCATAGTCTCTCTGTATTGTCCAAGTGGCTAAGTTTGCCACATGGTGTATTGCACAAACGACACAGGGTTAAAGTTCTTGACTGTTGCTAAGAGAGTTCAGGCTGAAAATAGTTCCATGCGGAGTGCACATGGTCTTAACAGGAGCTCTGGCTGTTGGAGACAGGGGGCTCCCTCCCACTCATAGGGGGCAATTGGTCTCCCGGACAAGATGTATATCTCCTCCAAAAAGCACCTTCCTAGCCAATTGGGAAGGGGTGAAAACCAGGGGACAATATGACCAGGACTAGGCACTGAACGTGGCCGAGATTCCATAATGCTTTTCTTTGTCATTCAAAAGGCATATAAAGCATCATGGTTGAGTTGTAGTTCTACAAGATCTGGGGATCTACCTTTGGGCACTCCTGCTGTAGAGTGCTGTTGTGATAGTGCTGCAATTATAAGAGTCACAGCTGTTTTAAATGTCACCTCCATTGTTAGGGGCAAATAGGGTCAAGATTAACCCAACATGTTGTAAATTATGACTCCTTTTTCCGGCTTATTGTTTTTATTGGTAGTCTAAAAGATGTACGCACAGATGACTTGTTTTATTGTTGTTGGCAGTTTTTACAATGGGGTAGAGGCATGTGAAGATGTAAAGTTATTACCCCTTTTTCTGACCATGGGTGTACTAAGCAGTAAGGCATTTCAGGATGCAGCATTTTCTCACACAGCAGACCTAAACAGAAAGGAACTAAATGATATCACATATCACATATCAAAAAGAATAACAAATCCATTGATGTTGAGTCAGTCTATGGGCTATATAAACATCACATGAATTGTAGTTTATAAACATCTGCAGTTCCTGTTAGCAAAAAAATTATTCTGATGTTTGTGATCTATAATTACCATGATGCTTATTCTTATCCTTATCCTCAGAAATGTGATCTCTATGTTCAGAAGCATCTGTGTTCACATAAGTAGGTTGTGAATTTTGAAGATGTCTGTGAGCTTCCCATAATGCAAATGAGAAATTTGCATATTGTCTAGGTTAGACAATAGCTATTCTTGGCCTAGTCACTGTCTCTCCATCACCAAGACTCCTTTCTCCTAAAGCAAATATTCTGCCAACTGGGATGTCTGCTAAGGTGCCAGCATGCCACAGTTGCCAGCTATCTGTACATTCACCTACTTACCTTCCCAAGCACGTCAGCTGCTTTTCTAGGACATATTAAAAAAACAAATGGGGAGGGGTGTATTACAGTTCACACAATAGATTAGTGTTCAAACTCAAAGAAATCAGTCTACATAAAAATTCTTGTTCTTGGGTAGAAGATTGGCTTAAAAATAGAGTTGTCATTAATGGTAAATTTTCAAGCTGGACAGAGGTGGCAAGTCGTATCCCTCAGGGTTCTGTTCTGGGACCCCTACTATTTAACATATTTATTAATGATCTTGAAAAAAGTATTCATGTTTCAGTGTTTACAGATGACACAAAATTCTGTAAAGTAATACAATGTTAGCAAGATATTACTTTGCTGCAGAGGGATTTAGATAGACTTGGGGACTGGGCACTCAAATGGCAGATGAAATTTAATGTAGAAAAATGCAAAGTTATGCACTTGGGCGTAAATAATGCACAAGCAAGTTATACCCTAAATGGGATCGAATTAGGGATAACAACACACGAGAAGGACTTGGGAATTGTTGTAGACAACAAACTATGCAACAATGTGCAATGTCAATCAGCAGTGGCTAAGGCCAGTAAGGTATTGTCATGCATGAAAAAAGGCATTAATTCTTGGGGTGAGAATATCATTTTGCCTCTTTATAAATCACTGGTAAGACCACACCTTGAATATGCTGTGCTATTTTGGGCACCTGTTCTAAAGAAGGATATTATGGCACTAGAAAAAGAGCAGAGGCGGACTACAAAATTAATAAAAGGAATGGAACATTTTAGCTATGAAGAAAGATTAACAAGGGGCGGAGCCTAACCATCGAGAGGAGCAGATGTGTGTGTCCCAGGCTCCCGCTGGAATAAACAATTTATATGGTATTAAACCCAGTTAACTAGCAATTTAACCTAGCCAAGCCGTTTAATCACGGGAGACCAGAGTACCGCCACTGCGGCCTGCTACATCGGAGCTGGGGAGAGGCGGCCGATCTTCCCACTCATCGGTAGCTCACTAGTCTGGGCACTCTCCTACCCCCCACTGGACCGGCGGGGGTCATCCTGGTCCCTACGCAACTATCTGAACACAACGACAAGGCACCTACCTCCATACCTGAAATAGGGCCTAGTCAAGCTCGGAGTGCCGAACTAAGATGGCGTCTGAGATCCGGCCCGGAGAGACGGCTCACGAGCAGGACACACCAGCCCTTAGCTCTGTGGACCGCATACTGCAGCGACTGAATGAACACTTTCGAAGGTTCTGGGAAGCTCTGGAGAACTGCCAACCCATAATGCCGCTCCAACACCGAGTGGAAGGGCGGAGAGGCGAGAGCCGGAGAGCGAGGAGGACCCCCTCGGGCCTAGCTACATTTGACAAACCTACAACTCATATTAATGGCCTACCTGGGCCGAGGGCCACCAGGAGACAATGCCCACACGGAAGGAGGGATGGCCACCACAGGCGATGACTAACCATCATGTCCCTCCGCCACTCCCGTCCTGGGAGGGACTTGGACCACAGAGGAGACCGGGTCCGTGGTCTAAAATTGTCGGCTCTCATACCGGCCTGGGGCTGGAGAGTGGACTTACCTTGCCCCCAACGAGCCGCCATCTCTGCAATCTGCCCAGCACAGGGCCCAGGTCGAAGATGCATTATACACCGCCGCAAAGTACACGCACGGGCGCGGGATATAGGAGCCCAGTGGAGAACGTCCATCCCAGGGCTACAGTCAAGGCCTCCAGACTGGCATGCCAGGCTCCTTACATTCTTTACCCACGTACATGCCATGAGAACTATACATTTGTTCACCCGTAGGTTTGCTTAGTAGCTAACTTCTCATCTTTATGTTTAACTCCTGAATCTACCTAATCTAAGTGCACTAGGCAGACGTACTCTTGAATATTATACCATCATGTGGAAACCTGTTAGTCTTTTAATACAGTTAAGCATGTTTGTTTTACCCTCCTCCACACACAGAGGCATCACACCTTATATCAGAGTACACACTTTAGGCAAGCCCCACTGAAGCATTATGTTTATTACAGCACTGTCATGCAAATGCCTATCAAGTGGAGTCTATACTATAGTAGTAGTATGAAGCTTGCATATATTTCCCCTCATATGCCTCCTAGCTAGACAAGTATTATAATATGTTTAAAAAATGTGCTTGATCCCTCTGTTGCTCCTAATGTTATGCATGACCATACGCTTGAGGATTGCTGTTGGGGCACCCCGAGCTTGTCTGTATTGATGCTATGCACAACAAAAATAAAAAAAATAAAGATTAACAAATTTAAACCTCTTTAGTTTAGAAAAACGTTGCCTCAGTGGGGATATGATAACATTATACAAATATATCCGAGGCCAATACAAACCATTGTGTGACACTCTATTCACAGACAGGACTATACACAGGACACGAGGTCATGCGTTTAGACTGGAAGAAAGAAGATTTAGTCTAAGACAAAGGAAAGGTTTTTTTTTACTGTAAGAACAATAAAGATGTGGAATTCTCTGCCTGAAGAAGTGTTTTTATCAGCGTCCGTACAGAAGTTTAAACAGCAACTAGATGCATACTTGCAAAAACAGAATATTCAATTATATAATCTTTCAACTGTAGGGTGATACCTTATTGATCCAAGGATAAATCTGACTATGATTCTGGGGTCAACAGGGAATTTTTTTTCCTAGTTTGTTGCAAAATAGGAAATGCTTCAAACTAGGTTTTTTTGCCTTCTTTTGGATCAACAGCAAAAAAAGAACGTGAGGAAGGCTGAACTTGATGGACACATGTCTCTTTTCAGCCTATGTAACATTTGCAGTGACTTTGTGGGTTACATCTCCGCTGATGCTTTCCAGTATAACGGCTGAAGAGCATTATAGGAGATGTAGCCCAGAGCATCTGGAGTGCAAAAGGTTGCCTACCACTGTCCTAGACAAATGATCAAGACATGCATGTTTATATCCCTACATTAAGTTCCAAAATTGACTGCAATTATACAAATTAAAGTTACTGAACAGCCTCTGTAAACGTTCCCAAGACCTATGCACTTTAGGACTTATTATAGAGCATAGATAAAAGTATGCCGGGAAGCAACGCTTTCAAATAAAGTCATCAGTTCCAGATCCCAGTGGAGCAATATGGGAATAAAAGAGGACATGAATTCAAATATAGTGTAGTATTTAGGGTGTAGTGATATTAGAATAAAATAATATGCACTTACAATTTTCTGGAGCGTCAGATCAGCTCCAGATATATGCGTCTGGACGGCACAATCCCCATTTGAAGATATGCTGAAAGTCAAAAGCATATCCTCACATAGGGATTGTACCGTCCAGGCTCATATATCTAGAAAAGATCTCCAGAAAATTGTAAGTGCATATTATTTTATTCTAATATCACTACACCCTAAATACTACACTATATTTGAATTCATGTCCTCTTTTTTCCCCATATTGCTCCACTGGGATCTGGAACTGAGGATTTTATTTGACAGCACTGCTTTCCAGCATTGTTTCATGCATCAGGAATCTCTCTCCTCTTACATTATTATAGAGTATGATAGGTTAGGAGTATATGTGGTAAATTTCTATGTGGACCCCTCCTCTAAATGCTGCAACCAAATATAGGGTAATAACAATACTTGCTTTATTATATATTTGCCATGTTCGGAATAGATTCAAGAGGAGGGTAGTTCGGACACCTGATCCAGTTTTGCTCTAGGGCCCAGTTTGCTGCCCACTCCTGTGTATGGCAGCCTAGATATTAACCAGTGGTCCTCAATGTCTTAACTGCCTAATGAGTCAAGGGGCAGCGGTAATAAGGACAGATGGGAGACAGAGAGGAGGTAGATTAGGGATCGGGATAAAGGATAAAAACAGCAGTGTGAATTGAAGAGACAGAGAGGCATAAACTGTATTCAAAGGGAGCGAAAATGCAATGTAGACGAGATAAAACAGATATCATCATAAAAGAAAAAATGGTTAATCAACTAGGAGGACAGAAAAACAGACACAAGAAAGGTAAGAAGAGAGTTAAAAGAACTAGACTGGATAAAATTAGAAGTGAATTATGAGCAGGTGAAGTGACATTTGTAAAAGAGAAACTGCGTGAGAGAGAGAAGCTGGCAAAGAAAAACAGATTAACAAACTGAACAAACTAAAATAAAAAAAAAAAAAGTAGATCTTGGAGGTCAGGGGTAAATAGGTGGTGAAAAATGAGCCGGAATGTGGAATACTGGCAGAAGGAGAAGCTAGGGAAGAGATGAAGGAGAAAAAAAGGAGGGGGGGAGAATTATAAATAGAGGAGGTACATGAGATGGGAATTAAAGCGGATCTTAATCTTTAATAGCAAGGCTCCTTTAACCACCCAAACTATTATAACAGAATTTATCATTATCAAATATCACATTTTGTAACCTTGCATGGAATATTCCTATACAATATACCTCCTTAAAGCTTTGAAAGCAAACTAATTCAAATAACACAGAACACTGTGGTTCCAGGAACTGTACTGTCAGGCTGTACCCATATCTTGTGTATGTTTTGTTTCCAGTCTCATCAGTAATTGTTTCAGCATATTTTGGAATAATAATAACTATAGAATTTATCATGTCATTGCACCTCGTTATCTTACATGGGCATGGTTATCTTCAATTATCCTATCACGAGCTAATGGTAAGAATGTAGTGGAATCTCCAAAGAATTTGCATGTATCTAGATTGTAGGTTTCCACAGGAACATTTTGATGGAAAATGTTTGGTGCTTTAAAAATGCCTCCAAGTGACTGATGAGCTGTGAATTTGATCTCCAGTTTACATATTACTGTGGAATGACTCTTTTAGATATAATCAGGAGGATTGGGGGAGAATCTCACTTTAGACTTTCTAACTGTTCCCTGCACCAGAACTATTCAACTACAAATTACTGTGCCAAGTTTGTTTTAGGGTCCCTAGTGGTTTTAACTCTATAACTGTCCATAAGAATTAGGCCACCACTTTAAATTTCGGGCAATCCTGGCAAGTCATCTTTCATGAAGAGGTTAAAGAGTCACGTTTGTCTCGGGTTTAATGGAACTATGTTTGTACATTATCCTCTATTTACCACAATGCAGAGACCTCCTCCTCCCTCATATCATGCCAACGCATTAACTATGCCCCTCGCTCTCTATTTTCTAGCTATCATAACATATATGTCAGGATTTTTTTTACATTATGCCAGCATGGAAAGTCTTCCTTATTTAGTTTTGTCATCAAATGAGTGGGACATTATATTTTGGAATATGATACTTAAAGATCAGATTGTTGTGAAGTCATTGGTATTTAAGGGTTAAAGCCATAGAATATCAGCACTTACATCAATTGATGCCTGTTTTTGAGCAAGCCTCTTGCTCTCTTCTCTCTGTGAGGATGCTCTCTCAGTCTGGCCTTTGTTGAGTCCTGCTGATACACCAGCATCTGGGTCCCCTGCATCCAACTCTTTCTCCAGTTGTTCCATCTCCTCAGGAGACAAGGTGGACAAAAGGTTATCAATGTCTGGGTCTTCGCTCACCTGGCGTCTATACTTTGCCACCCGAGACATCTTGGATATATTAAGCAACGAAGAGAGCAGTGAATTGCTGGATGTAGAAATGTATAGCCAGTGACTGTAATAAGATACAAAATAGCAGAAAGAAAAAAAAAGATGTATTTTTCCAAGACTTCCAAGAATTTAGCAGATTCTGTCACTGTACGGATTTTATCTAGAAAAATAAATTATCCAAAAACTTCAGAAGAAAAAGTGGGAAAAAACTTTACAAACAGAAAATTAGCTTAACGATGAATGTCTGCGAATTCCTTTCAGCACTGGAAGTTGCAACACAGACAAATATCCAAAAATAAAATAAAATGTTCTTTAAACAAGTGATATTTACAGATGTACGCAGAAACTTCAACAAAAAGATTTTGTGGTTTTTACAATCACCAAGCTATGAATTTGTCCACCCCCTTTTTCTCTCAGAGGGAGGAACACCCTGCACTCCCTCCCAAAGACTGGGGGCATTCCAGTGAATCTTTTGCTCATGCCCAAATTTAGATAGAGAAATCATAGCTTTTTATGGAAATCAGTGGGCAAATCAGAAAAACAGAGGATGTAACCAAGTCAAGGGAATAAAATGCGGCTCTAAATATTGATGCACACAGATGTAAACAACTGGACTGAAGAAGGACACCTGCATTAAAGCAGGCAGTGTAACACATACAACGAAAACTGAAATCATGAAAGAACAGCATGTCAGTATTAAAACAACAGATTTTTATTAAAATTGAAAAACAAGCAGATTTCATCATTTCTTCCCACAAGCAATGGTCAAAAGAAAGAACCAGAGACGGTGCTAAAAACAGAGAGCCTCTCCTGGGATATGGGCGGCAAATAGGGGGTATGTAGTTTGATTAATTTAATCCTTAACCCATTTTGTGCCAGAAAGGAGGGCAATGTATAGCTCTGCAATGTGCTAACCTCCCTTTGGCAATCCATGGGTTAAAGAAGCTTAGATAATTTCCATAGTCATGATTAACCAAATGACAGGGAATTTACTGAGGGAAGAACGCTGGAATACCTCTACACCCCCTCCTGACTCCCAGGGGGCCTAATTCCATAATGGGTAAAGGAGAAGAGATCATATTTGCCTGTTACTAGTGAGGCCAGAAGCTGCACCCACGGTTCATAAAATGAATTCTATTTTACTTCACTTTACTAGCAACATGGAAAGAGCATAGGTGGGGGGAGATAGTGTTTCCCTATGCTGCTTGATGTGCCTGAGCAGGCCAGACCCACTATATTTTCTTCCCACTGTGTTTTAGTTCCCATCAAAAGCAGAATCTCAGCTATTAACTCAGTAAGTGCCAGTTAGAGTTAGAACTAGACCTGCTGGTATATGGGACTGCGGTCCATCTTGTAAGAAGATTCATCAGAAGTCACACTAGGTAGTAGTATTCATCTTTTGTTTTTATTATCTGCGTCTTGCATGTTCAAGGTATAAAACAGCTATGTAAATGACAGATAGAGTCAAACAACAAATTAACAGTGACAACGAAATAAACATAATGCAAACAATATTTGTTGAACCAGGTCGAAACAGTATAGATAGCACTGTTGGTCCGACAAAGCAATATGTATAATGAGTCCATGGGAAGAATATTGATGTTTATGGCTGTTTATTGTTTATGACTAATTTTAAGTTCAGGGAAAATGATTTTTGTGTATCTGGGATTATTGCTAAATAGTGTCAGAGTACTGAATAAAAACTACTTCTAAAAGTCAGCCAGCATTGGTGTGGGTCACAAAGGGCATTGGATATGTTTTAGAAAACTACTGTCGGTGTGTGTGCGTAAATGGAGAGTTAATAGTTCTTGTTATGGTATAAACCTCCCAAGTGTCCCTTTTAACCCCTTAAGGACACAACTTCTGAAATAAAAGGGAATCGTGACAAAATATTTCTGTCATGTGTCCTTAACTGGTTAATGAAGGACAGTCACTGTTTGGAGATCAAATCCCTCTGTTCGATTTCCTATTTCAATTTAAATCTTTTTCTAGGAGTTCCATATTGTTGGTGTGTATAAGTACATAACAGAGCTCCAGAGCAATAATACGCATATTAACATGCCTCCCAAATGTCCTGTTTTCGGCGGGACAGTCCTGATTTTGGGGTGCTATCCCACCATCCCGCTTTAGTTTCCTGGTGTCTCGTATCTGAGGACACCAGGGAACTCTACCCAGGAATCATGGGGTTTGAATGTTGCATTCTTTAATGATACATAATATAATAAAAACACAAAACAACTTCTTAATTCAATATGTTTATTTTGATAAAACTGAAACATTTGCAGAATGGCCGTGAACATTTATTATGGATTTCACAATTTCAATTTAAACATCAACATCCTTAATAATAATAAAACCATAACTTTTAACCAAAAGCAAAATAAACCATTAACCATTTCCAGGCTTTGGCCCTAAAGCCAGGAGTCATAAATATATATTAAAACCAAATAAATCAATCCACCCTCCTGTGATGCCCAGGAGGGTGACTTATATCCCATAATAAGGTCAAAACAAAATGCATAACTGAAGGGAAGGGTGGGTGTTGCAGTAGCTCAAATACTTACAAGCAACCAACCTTGTTAATTGTCCGGCACATGTTGAGGTAAATAATTTTGGCGCCTTTAAATTTATGCCCCCTCAATTCCCGCAGCTAAATGGCGGCTATCCACCAATCAGAGCATCAGCGATGAGCGTGAGCTTCCCGCTAAACAAAGAGCATGCGCTGCCCTGCACCTAACCCAAAGCCTACCCAATACTACTAACCCACCCGTCTCTGCTCATCAAACCCCATGAGGGTGCTCCTCATATGTCCGCCCGCCCAACATTAGATGCGCTCGCACTGTGAAGCGGGCACTAGGAAAGCATCAGCAGCGGTTATATGGGGCCTGTCAGCTAGTGGGCCTTCTTCTTTTTACGGCTGACCCTCCTACTTTTCAAACAGGACCGCCCCTTGTCCTGGTGATTTACCAATTGTGGACATCGCTAGTGACGTGACTTGTGTCACTAGCGACACCCCCTGTCCGAAATTGTGGAAGAAGCATGTTGGGAGGGATGCAGTAATGTGTCTTTGAAGTACAATAAATTAGTTAAGAAATCAGTCTGAGTAAATAAGATACATTCTTCTAGTTCTGAATGGCATGCTAGCTGCATAAATTGTTATCAGTAAGTCATCTGATATTGCTCAGAACATCCTCAATCACACCCCAAAATTTTAATATTTCTATTTTTCAGTTTGAAATGTTGGATGGCATGGGAGCACAGAAAACTTTGGGGATGGAAGTTTTAGTTTGAAATAATTTTATTGCCAACACAATGTAAACGCGGATATCAAACATGGTATTGTAAATGCATATAGTGCCTAGGCAGAGACGTATATATCGAAACATGTAAATTTAACAGGCACAGTTATTATGATTAAGCAGGTGAATATTCTGCGAACTTAAATACATATTGTCAAGGCGGGTAGTACCAGGTTTGGTTTGTCTAGGTAAATTCAGCCGTCTTCCTGTGTCCCCTTCTGGGGTCATTTAATTGAGCTAACATTTTGGTTGTGTTCGGAACAGTAAGCAGTTTTCCCACACAGGGGATTGTGTTAAAATGATTTGTATCGCATGAAGAAACAGGTTCGGTACCATGTGTTTGCTACCATTAGATGGATCTGTCACACCTCCTGTCTTGTCGTTAACATTGCCTGGTTTGACTTCTTGTCCTGTGTTACTTATGTGTCGTATGTGTTAGATATGGCTCTGATAGGAAGTGCAGCTTTGTGTGAATCTGGTGTTGTTACACTTGCGGGTCAGCGGTGTGAATAAAGCCAGTTTGGACTAGCACTAGTACGATGCCTGTGCAGAGGCTCTGTGAGTTTAGCAAGCGTATTGGTGTTTATGCCTACGCAGAGGCTTCAGGAAGCGTTACATTTCAGTTTCATAGGATTGTGTGTTAGGGGCCTTTTGTGGTATGTTTCAATGTCCTATCCGGTCTTTTTCTGTCTCTGAGTGTCGTCGTCACGTGGGTTACTGAGTGTATGTCGGGTAGTTGGGTAGGACCTGGATCAGGTCAGTGGCGGATCCAGTGGGGGGCAACGGGGCAATTGCCCCCCTTGAGAAATCCGACGGTCTCCCTCTCCTCTGCCAGCACATGTAGGCGCCAGACCTGCAATGTGCCTGTGGACCGGAGGGGAGATCAGAGATCTCCCCCCCGGTCCGCAGGCACTGTGCTGAGAGCCGGCAGGGGAGGGAGAAGGAGAAGAGAGGACCCGGGAGCTCAGGCTGCAGCTCCTCCGGGTCCTCCTCTCGCGAGATTTGGAGCGTTGCCGCGGTTACCATGGCAATGCTCCAAATCTCGCGATAGTGAACTCTAGCCCTGGAGCGAGGGCTAGAGTTCACTCCAACCACTGGGACCACCAGGGAATCCCACTGGGACCACCAGGGAACAAAATATGTCTCCCCTCCTCCCAGTTAAGGTAAGAAGGGAGAGGGGACATAGAATATTTATTTATTTTAATTAAATAAATAAAAAATATATATTATAAAAAAAGCCCCCCTAGCCTTATCACACACTGCCCCCATACACACACATTGCCCCCATACTGCTCCCCATACACACATATTGCCCCCATACACACACACTGCCCCCCATACACACATACTGCCCCCCATACACACACACTATCCCCATACACACACACTGCCCCCATACACACACACTGTCCCCATACTGCCCCCATACACACACACTGCCCCCCTGTACACACACACTGCCCCCATACACACACATACTGCCCCCATACACACACACTATCCCCATACACACACACTGTCCCCATACTGCCCCCCCATACACACACACTGCCCCCTGTACACACACACTGCCCCATACACACATACTGCCCCCATACACACACACTATCCCCATACACACACACATTGCCCCATACTGCCCCCCATACACACACACTGCCCCCATACACACACACCATACTGCCCCCATACAAACACACTGCCCCCATACACACACTGCCTCCATACACACACATTGCCTATACTGCCCCCATACACACACACTGCCCCCCATACACACACACTATCCCCATACACACACACTTCCCCCATACAAACATACCTGCTGCCCCATCACACATTGCCCCCATACTTCCCCCCCATACACACACACACTGCCCCCATACTGCCCCCCATACACACACACTGCCCCCATACACACACACTGCCCCCCTGCCCCCCCCATATACACACACACACTGCCCCCGTACACACACACATATCCCCATACACACACACTGCCCCCCATACACACACACACTGCCCCCATACTGCCCCCCCCATACACACACACCGCCCCCCATACACACACACTATCCCCATACACACATTGCCCCCATACACACACACTATCCCCCATACACACACACTCTACACACATACACTACCCCATACACACACACTGCCCCCATACACTG